GTTGGAGGAGCTACCTGATCGGCCTCTCCATGCTGCAGATGTGGCAAAGTGTAGTGCCCAGGATCCTGTCCTCTCCCGTGTTTTGGATCGGGTGGGGGAGGGGGTGGCCTAAAGATCAGATGGGTCAGGACTTTGAGCCTTACGTTTTCCGCAAAGACGAACTATCCACCCATAAGGGGTACTTGGTTTGGGGAAGTCGGGTGGTAATCCCCAAGCCCTTGCGGCAACAAGTTCTCTTGGCCCTACACGAAGCACACCCTGGAATCATGCACATGAAAGCCCTTGGCAGGAGCTATGTTTGGTGGCCAGGATTGGATGCAGATATCAAGGCCTGGGACAAGCACTGTAGGACCTGTCAGGAGTCATGCCCAGATCCACCCCAAGGCCCGGTTCAGTCGTGGGAGCCTACGTGGTCTCCCTGGTCCCGCCTCCACCTAGACTTTGCAGGACCATTTCACGGCCAGATCTTCCTTATTCTGGTAGACTCTTACACCAAGTGGCTGGAGGTGGTTCAGGTGCCTTCAACCTCAGCCTCGGTGGTCATTCGGGCCCTGCGCCCAATTTTCACCACCCATGGCATTCTGGATATTGTCGTGACAGATAATGGAACAGCTTTTACCTCCCAGGAGTTCCAGGAGTTTCTGGAGAGCAATCTCATCTGTCATGTGCGGTCAGCACCTTTCCACCCTGCTACCAATGGTCAAGCGGAAAGGATGGTGCGTACTGCAAAGGAGGCACTTCAACAGATTGGCCAGACTGAGTGGGAGAGGAAACTTGCTTGTTTTCTCCTCTCTTATAGGACCACACCTAACTCTGCGAGCGGTTGCAGCCTTGCGGAGCTTCTCATGGGACGCTGCCTAACAACTCGTCTCAACCGCCTCCACCCGGACAGAGTCCTTGATCGGCGGTCACAAACGGAGGTGCATGAAGCACCACGCGTTTTTTTCTGTGGAGACCCAATGTGGGCAGGGAACTACATTGGTAACCCTGCCTGGCTGTCGGCCAGAGTCCTTCGAGTAAAGGGGCCGATGTCTTACAAGGTTGCCACAGAGGACGGAAGGACCCTGAAGAGGCACATAGAGCAACTACGTAGCCGCTTGCCAGCGGACGCCATAGTGCAGCCGAGACGGAGCTGCTCTGAGGAGACTGTAAGCCGCAGGCCTCGATCTATTGAGGAGGAAGAAGGGCCAGAGGGCCTTATAGAGTCGGGTGGTACCACAGGGCCAGAGATGTCGTTACTGGCTGAAACGACAGCAGCTGCCCAAGCGTCCTTACCACAGGCACTAGAAGCAGCTGCTGCCCCTGCCATGGAAACCCTGGAAACAAGGATGGATGTAGAACCTCATACGGAATTAAGGCGCTCCCAGCGAGAGCGGAGGCCACCTGCTTATTTGAGGGACTATGTGAGCTGGGAGTATTTGGACTATGGGAGGGGGAAGGGGTGTTATGTCTTGAGATCAACTCCACTATTGTCCTCGCCGATAGAATGATGTCAATACGAATCCAAGGCAGACCATTCAACATCACAATAATCCAAGTTTATGCACCAACCAGCATTGCTGAGGAGACTGAAATTGAACAATTCTATGAAGATTTACAACACCTTCTAGAACTGACACCAAAGAAAGATGTTCTTCTCATTCTAGGGAACTGGAATGCTAAAGTAGGGAGCCAAGAGATAAAAGGAACAACAGGGAAGTTTGGCCTTGGAGTTCAGAACGAAGCAGGACAAAGGCTAATAGAGTTTTGTCAAGAGAATAAGCTGGTGATCACAAACACTCTTTTCCAACAACACAAGAGGCGACTCTATACATGGAAATCACCAGATGGGCAATATCGAAATCAGATTGATTATATTCTCTGCAGCCAAAGATGGAGAAGCTCTATACAGTCAGCAAAAACAAGACCTGGAGCTGACTGCGGTTCTGATCATCAGCTTCTCATAGCAAAATTCAAGCTTAGACTGAAGAGAGTAGGAAAAACCACTGGGCCACTCAGGTATAATCTAAACCAAATCCCTTATGAATACACAGTGGAAGTAAAGAACAGATTTAAGGAACTAGATTTGGTGGACAGAATGCCTGAAGAACTTTGGATAGAGGCTCGTAACATTCTCCAGGAGGCAGCAACGAAAACCATCCCAAAGAAAAGGAAATGCAAGAAAGCAAAGTGGCTGTCCAACGAGGCCTTAGAAATAGCAGAGAGGAGAAGGCCTTGATCTCGTGAAAGATTTGATTCAGCCAATGGAGTTGGCAGAAGTTACCAGCCAGGAACTTCTAAAGATCCTGGCAGACTATTTCATGCCGCAACGGTCCCAGTGGGCGCGCCGGTGGGACTTCCGCAAACGTTCACAGAATGCTGGGGAGTCTGTTGGGGAGTACCTGGCCGCCATGCGCTGCCTCACCCGAAGGTGCGTGTTTGAGAAGTTGAACAAGGTGCTCCTAGACCAGTTTATTTTTGGGCTGAGGAGTGAGAAGCATTCGAGCAAGATAGTCGTGCTTCCCCAATGTGACCTTGTGCTATGGCTGTGGATTTCACCACTGGCTGGGAAAAGGGCCACCCCGAGGTGTCGACCAGCGGCTGTCCGGCCGCCCCGGCTGTTAATCAGATTGGTCAGGAGAGGAGTGCAAGTGACTCAGAGGGAGATGAAGATTTACATATGCGCCAGGCCCTGAAAGAAAAGAGCAGCCGCCCAACACGTACCAGCAGTCGGCTAAAGAAAAGAGCAGCCGCCCAACATGTACCAGCAATCGGTGGTCTGAAGGCGCCGCCAGCTGTTTTAGTTGTGGGGAGGACCACAAGTGCCACTTTTGCCATTTTTGTGATGTTTCCTGCCATAAATGTGGGAAGGTTGGTGACCTTGCCCGCATCTGCCGCTCCAAGGCCATAGGGAGAACCACAGGGAGCCGGAAATCAGCACACTCAGCGGAGCTGCTCGAGGTGGAACTGCACTCCCTTTCTACATGTCCACTCCAGGTGCTACGCCTTCCCAACCCTTCTAGTTCAGCTAATAGAAGGGTGCGAGTTGTCATAGAGGGGTCCCCTTGTGAACTGGAGTTAGATACTGGGTCTGTTGTCTCTATAATATCAGAGGACACCCTTCGAAGAATATGCCCCAGGGGAGGACCTCAGCTCCAAACTCCCAGTTATACCTTGATTGACTTTCAGAGAAATGCGGTGCCTATACTGAGTGCGGTGTGGCGATTTTAACGGCAAATTAGATCTCCTGGTCGTGAAAGGTTGCTGCACAAGCCTTCTGGGTCCAGCATGGTTCGGGCCCCTGGGCATCGGGATAGAAGGAATTAATAAAACTGCCATAATGGACTTCAACACAGTTTGTTGTGAGTTCCCGTCCGTCTTTGATGGCAACCTAGGCTGTTACAAGGGCCCCCCAGTCTCCCTTCAGCTTGACCCGCAGGGTTCCCTTCGTCCTTAAACCAAAGATAGAAGAGGAGCTGGACCGGTTATTACAGCAGGGGGTTTTGGAACCGGTGTCCCATGCTATGTGGGAAACCCCTATAGTTACTCCAGTGAAGCTCAATGGGGACGTGCGTATCTGTGGGGACTATAAGTGTACAATTAACAAAGCTTTGCAAGACCATGCTTATCGGGTGCCAGTGGTGAGCCACTTACTAGCTACTCTTGCAGGGGCTAAACTTTTTGGAAAACTGGATCTGGCTCAGGCGTATCAACAATTGCCTGTGGACGATGCTACAGTGGAGGTGCAGAGCATTGTTACTCAAAGGGATGTCTTCCGGGTTAAACGCCTACAGTTTGGAGTGAGCGTAGCTCCGGGATTATTTCAGAATTTAATGGATTCCCTTCTTATAAGGGTTTCCAGGGGTTACACCGTTTTTTGATGATGTATTAATAGCTGCCTCTACTAAGGAGGGGTTTGCCGACTGCCTCCGTTCTCTGTTAAAGCGCTTCAAGACGGCCGGCCTTAAGGTCAAGCAGGAAAAGTGTCTTTTGGGGGTCGATTGGGTGGAGTTCCTAGGGTTCTCTATAGATGCGGCAGGAATTCACCCTTCTGAAGGCAAGCTAAAGGCAATCCAGGATGCTCCCACGCCTATCAACAAGCAGGAGCTTCAAGCGTTTCTTGGCCTCTTGAATTTCTATCATGCCTTCCTCCCACATAAGGCAGCAGTTGCAGAGCCCCTGCATCGTCTTTTGGGAAAAAAGACTTCCTGGGCCTGGGGCCCTCGCCAGGCTTCTGCCTTTCAAGTGGTTAAAGATTTGCTAGTTTCGAACTCAGTACTAGTGCATTTTGACGAGGAATTACCTACGATCTTCTTCCTACGGCATTGGTGCCGTTCTCGGACATCTGCTCCCCGATGGGAAAGAAGTCCCTGTTGCATACTATTCTCAGACTCTTTCCCCGGCGGAGCGTAATTATGCCCAAATTGATAAGGAGGGCCTAGTGATCGTGGCAGGAGTTTTAAAATTTCACGATTACTTGTACGGATGGCCCTTTACCATTTTGACCAACCATAAGCTGTTGTTGGGTTTGTTCACACCTGATCGCCAGATGCCACAGGTCCTCTCCCCTGTGGTCCTCCGTTGGTCCATCTTCCTGACAGGATACCAGTATGCTCTCCAGCATCGCCCCAGGAAGGCAATGGGACATGCTGATGCGCTTAGCTGCCTGCCGTTGCAAGACATAGATCCAGACCAGGCACCCGGTCACCAAATCATGTTGTTGGAGGAGCTACCTGATCGGCCTCTCCATGCTGCAGATGTGGCAAAGTGTAGTGCCCAGGATCCTGTCCTCTCCCGTGTTTTGGATCGGGTGGGGGAGGGGGTGGCCTAAAGATCAGATGGGTCAGGACTTTGAGCCTTACGTTTTCCGCAAAGACGAACTATCCACCCATAAGGGGTACTTGGTTTGGGGAAGTCGGGTGGTAATCCCCAAGCCCTTGCGGCAACAAGTTCTCTTGGCCCTACACGAAGCACACCCTGGAATCATGCACATGAAAGCCCTTGGCAGGAGCTATGTTTGGTGGCCAGGATTGGATACAGAGATCGAGGCCTGGGTCAAGCACTGTAGGGCCTGTCAGGAGTCACGCCCAGATCCACCCCAAGGCCCGGTTCAGTCATGGGAGCCTACGCGGTCTCCCTGGTCCCACCTCCACCTAGATTTTGCAGGACCATTTCACGGCCAGATCCTCCTTATTCTGGTAGACTCTTACACCAAGTGGCTGGAGGTGGTTCAGGTGCCTTCAACCTCAGCCTCGGCAGTCATTCAGGCCCTGCGCCCAATTTTCACCACCCATGGCATTCTGGATATTGTCGTGACAGATAACGGAACAGCTTTTACCTCCCGGGAGTTTCTGGAGAGCAATCTCATCCATCATGTGCGGTCAGCACCTTTCCACCCTGCTACCAATAGTCAAGCGGAAAGGATGGTGCGTACCGCAAAGGTGGCACTTCAACGGATTGGCCAGACTGAGTGGGAGAGGAAACTTGCTTGTTTTCTCCTCTCTTATAGGACCACATCTAACCCTGTGAGTGGTCGCAGCCCTGCGGAGCTTCTCATGGGATGCTACCTAACAACTCGTCTTGACCGCCTCCACCCGGACAGAGTCCTTGATCGGCGGTCGCAAACGGAGGTGCATGAAGCACCACACGTTTTTTTCTGTGGAGACCCAGTGTGGGCAGGGAACTACATTGGTAACCCTGCCTGGCTGTCGGCCAGAGTCCTTCGAGTAAAGGGGCCAATGTCTTATGAGGTTGCCACAGAGGACGGAAGGACCCTGAAGAGGCACATAGAGCAACTACGTAGCCGCTTGCCAGCGGACGCCATAGTGCAGCCAAGACGGAGCTGCTCTGAGGAGACTGTAAGCCGCAGGCCTCGATCTATTGAGGAGGAAGAAGGGCCAGAGGGCCTTATAGAGTCGGGTGGTACCACAGGGCCAGAGATGTCGTTACTGGCTGAAACGACAGCAGCTGCCCAAGCGTCCTTACCACAGGCACTAGAAGCAGCTGCTGCCCCTGCCATGGAAACCCTGGAAACAAGGATGGATGTAGAACCTCATACGGAATTAAGGCGCTCCCAGCGAGAGCGGAGGCCACCTGCTTATTTGAGGGACTATGTGAGCTGGGAGTATTTGGACTATGGGAGGGGGAAGGGGTGTTATGTCTTGAGATCAACTCCACTATTGTCCTCGCCAGGTTTTAGTTGGAGCCAGGTGGTTGAGCTTGACTCCCTAGGATAACAGCCTCAGAGGATAACTCCCCCCCCCCCAATTAGCAAAGATACTGGGCAATTAGCCAATAGAGAAAGGAGGGTCGGAAACCCTCCAATGGTGGGAGGTGGTTTTATATGTGTGTGTGTGTGTTTCCCCCGCCGTCTGTTTTGCAGTAAACCGAGTGGAATTACTATTGTGTATGTAGCTCTTTATTGGTCTAGAACCCACTACAGAACAACTTCATAGAAAGCAGAGGATCTATAGCCCATAGTGGGTTGGAGGCCTAGAAAGCTTACTCTAAA